TTCAACGAATCTGGATAACCTATCCAATCATCATCACAGTCAAGGTATACAATTATTTTTTTCACCGCAAGAGGACTGCAGTGCCCCTTTATAGTTAATGCCCCCATCCACCCATGCAGAAAGGACTGATCTGCTTTCAGTCACTATAGGTTAGTTTTGCCATTCTATAATTTCACATAAATAGAATGCCACAGAATTTATCATTTTGTGTCTGGCATCTTTCACTCAGTATACAGATTTCTTATGCAAACATCTGTAGTTTATTCACTTATTTTTTCAAGGTTTTCTCTATAAATTTCATGAGAGATTGTGCTCATCAGAACTCAATAAAAGAAGAGAACAACTGTTATTATCCATTTTTACAAAAAGCAGAGAAGTCAAACTTAAATTTGTTTGACTTCTAGAAGCCAAACCCTAACTACTACTGACAATTCTATGCACATTAGTGAGTTTTTTTCTTCGGATAAATTCCTAGAATTGGAATGAGCTGTGTATTTTAAGGCTTTTGATCTGTGTTATCAGGTTGATATGTATGGCCAAGTCATATTTCTTGAGTCATACATATAACACCTTTATGAATCCTAACACCCTTCCCTATAATGAAGACTCTTCTTTTCTGATGTAGGGTAAATATACAAAATATAAAAGGACTCATACAACACAACATCAAAAAATAAAACAAACAACTGATTAAAAATGGACAGAAAACTTGAAGAGACATTTTTCCAAATAAGACAAACAGATGGCCAACAGACACATTAAAAGCTCACTAATCATCAGGGAAATGCAAATCAAAACCACAATGAGATATGACCTCACATCTGTTCAAATGGCTAGCATCAAAAAGACAAAGAATCACAAGTGTTGGTGAGGACGTGGACAAAAGGGAAGCCTCAGGCACTGTCAGTGGGAAGATAAATTGCTACAGTCACTATGGAAAACAACACAGAAGTTTCTCAAAAAATTAATACCATACAACCCAGGAATTCCATCTCTGGGTATCTTTCCAAAGAAAATAGAAACACTAATTCAAAAAGATATATGCACCCCTATGTTCATTGCAGCAGTATTTACAATAGCCAAGATATGGAAACAACCTAAGTGTCCATCAATATATGAAAGGATAAAAAGTTATGTGAGGTAGGTGTGTGTGTGTGTGTGTGTCTGTCTGTCTGTCTCCCATTTAACCAAAGGAAAGAATGAAATCCTGCCATTTTTGACAGCATAGATGAACCTAGAGTATATTATGCTATGTGAAATAAGTCAGAAACAGAACAACAAATACCATATGATTTCACTTATGTATGGAATCTAAAAAACAAAACAAATGAACAAAATAACAAAACACAAACAGACTTATGGATTCAGAGAACAAACTGGTGATTGCAGACAGGAGTAGCCTACGGGATGATTAGGTGAGGAAGATTAAGAGGTACAAACTTTTGTTATAAAAAATAAGTTATGGGGACATACAGCATAGGGAATATAGTCAATAATATTGTCATAATTTTGTTTGCTGACAGATGGTAGTTATCCTTATTGTGATCATTTTGTAATATATATAAAAACATCGAATCACTATGTTGTACACCTGAAATGAATATAATATTGCAAATCACTTGCATTTCAATTAAAATATTAAAAATAAATAAATACCAGAAGCTGGGGGAAATAAAAGAATGATTCTGAAGATTTTTATTTGAATTGGACAAATCCAGTTACCCAGGAAGGGGAAAGACTAAAGGGGGTATAGGTTTGTGGGTATGGGGATTAGGAATTCTATTTTCATCATGATAATCTGAGATACCTATTAGGCATCTAGATTTTGAGATGGCAGGTAGACAGTGGGTTGCACAAGACTGGTGCTCACTGAAGAGGTGAGGCTTGGCATATTAGTGGCAATTACAGCCAGGGGACTAAATTAGATTTCTTGTGGACAGAGTATATACATAGAAGAATGGAGAGTACCAACCAGAAAGGCTGCTAGAAGATGCTTTGCTGATACTTGCTGTTATCAATAGTTGAGGACTGCAGGGCAATTTTTCCCAAGAACTTGGACAGTAGAGAAATAATACTCCTATGAGGGTTAAACTGTAAAACCAATATGTAAAGAGTCAGAGGAGAGATATACTATGCCAACTTAAAGTTACAGAACAGCTCCAAAATCTGGAAGACTTCACTGTAATCTGTATCAGGAGATGAACTGTGTCCCCACAAAATCCATATGTTGAAGCTGGAATCCCTAGTACATCAGAATGTAACCATCTTTAGAGATAAGGTCTTAAAAAAAGGTAATTTAGTTAAAATGAGGTCTTTAGGATGATCCCTAAACCAGGATGACCAGTGTCCTTACAAGAAGAGGAAATTTGTATACAGACATGTGCCCCTATAGAGGAAAGATGGTGTGAAGACAGAGAGAAAAGATGGACATCTACAAGCCATGGAGAGAGGCCTCAGAAGGCACCAACACCTTGATCTTGGACTTCTAGCCTCCAGAACTGTGAAAAAATAAATTTCTGTTGTTTAAGTCACATAATCTGTGATATTTGTATTTGTTATGGCAGCCCTAAGGAACTAATACAATCTGATTAAATGCAATTACACAACAAAGTAAAAGAATCTGTCAATCAGAAAGGGGCTTGAACACCCAAAGAAGCATAGAAGAATAAAATATGCAAGAGTTTGAAACCAAGGAGGTCAATGACAGGGCAGTAAGTTGGAACAGATTCCATATCAAAGGACAAGTGGCTAAGTCCTAAATGAAAACTCATCCATAAGCTGGTCATAGGAGAGGCTGATACAATAAAATACTGAAGTAGGAGCAGGGCAGGAGCAGACAGGAGACTGGAAAAACAAAGTGAAGGCATGACATGAAATATGCAAAAGTAGTGCAAGGTATGAGTAGAGTACCTAAAGGTGTGAGGCAAAGTTTCCAATGATCTTGTAAAGAGTACGTTGAGGCCACCAAGTCTCATAATTTTTACGTACTTCAAGGTCATAAGGCATTAAACAGGCTAGACAAAAAGTGTCACTTCTTGCATCACAGACTACCAATGGCCTCCCAATACCCATTCTCAGCTCTTAAAATAGTACCCCTGATTTTTCAGTTGGCATAATTCCATCCCTCTAAAATACAGCAAACCCTAAACCTCCCTTATATGTAAGTATAATTCTGTCACCAGGTTTCTAGCCAATGAGAGATAAGAAGTGTAGGAAACTTCCAAGAGGTCTGCATAAAGGTATGGGGTGAAACTTTCTTTGCCTTTTCTTCCCTCCTTTCTTGGAATGTGAATATAGATGGCTGAAGTTCCAAAACCCTTATTAACCATCTTGGACCATGAAGAAAAGGCCATATACTCCAGGCCTACTGGGGGCTGGACAAGAACAGAAAGCTGGAAGGAAACAGGGCCATGGAGATTGAGAAGCCTCAATAGCAGTCCTGTGCCATCTATTTCCACAATTTAATGTGAGAGAAATAAACTTTCCTAGCCTGTTGCTTACAGAATTAAGCACCTGTCTCTGCACTACTGTTCTTTCATGATCTGTTTCTAACCTATATTTTGTCTCATCACCTACCAACATATTCTGCTTTTCCATTCTTAGACTATGCTTCATATTCTTTTCCCCACGTGCTCCCTATCACTACCTTGATTCCATAAGTATTCTCAATTGTTGTCTCTGAGTGGAAACTCCTATTTCCTCTGTTTTCTGCCTTCCTAGATACTTAATACCAGCACTGCCTAAACTTCTTTGATGGCCCTTTTTCTTTTACTGCCCTTTATGTTTCTTTTGAAGCTGAGTGCTCAGGTGAAAGGGCAATCTTTCCAGGTACACAGTGGTGATTTCTCCCTCAGTAGTCTACAAGAAACTAGTTTCTTTTTTTCTTCAAAATGTCTTCATTGATGACTTTCTTGATTTTCTTTTCCCATTTCTATTTGATCTCTTCTCTCTTGGCATTCCAATGTCACCTTACTTTTTTTTTTCACCAATCATACTTTATTTTGCATTATGATCATTTTATTCGCTCACACAACCAACATATGTTGAGGAGGCTTGGAAGTTGAGGGTGGCATGAACCTGAGTTTGAAGTTGAGAAATAATTTTTAAAATTGGAATCTCATTTAATCTTCTCAACAACAATTTAAAGATCTATTATCACGCCCTTTTCAAGATGGGGAAACAGAGTTGGGAGATGTTAGATTACCTGATCAAAGCCAGACAACTGGAAGAAGTTGGAGATGAAACTTGAGATCAGGTCTTCTGACATCATCTGTGTTCTTTCCACTATTCCTTATTAACTTCTCTCAGGAGTAGCAAATAAGAGGTCTTCCCGCTGAATCTGCCTCTTTCGTGCTTTGTCTGGTAAACACAGTAGCTTCTGGTTTGAGAAACAACCTAGAGTTAGACCACAGGAATTGGCAGAAGATTGACAAGTGCAGTTCTAATTAAAGCATTCAAATTCATATTATAAATAATCAAATCAGAAGCTACTGTGTTTACTAGTCTTACTGTAGGGACTTTTAAAAAAGGAAAAAAAAAAAAGATTGAACTTTCCGTTATCTCTCTCCTTCCTTAGCGGATTTTCTCGCATAATCTTATAATTATAAATCTTTTTTCAGTTCCTTTTGTATGTATACAAATCTTTTAAAAAGCAAAACAAGCCTCTTGTAAGGTACAGATCGGAAAAGGTTTTCTTAAGCTCCTGACAGCCAAGTCTTTGAAATCTAAATATTAAAGAAGATAGTGCTCCATCTCTCCTCATCACAGGAATTAGCCTAGTCTCCTTGCTCCAAGCTGTAAGTACCCGCTTGTCACAGAAATAGAGGTTTATTTTTCCCTTGGATAATGGCAATTAACTAACACAAATGAGCACCCCAAGAGTGACCTACCAAAGAATGTACAGCAAAC